GATGGATCTTTTATGCCAAATAGGTATACTAGAGGTTTATGGTCAGTCCTGATTTTAAAATATTGCCCATACAGATACGGTCTGAAATGTTTGACGGCCCATACTATCGCTAACAACTCTTTTTCTATAACTGGATTGTTTGATTCAGCCTTATTCAGAGATCTGCTAGTAGATGCATCGGTTAGTAAAATGAAATAATTTTCTTTTGAAAAATCAGGGTAATCTAAAACTGGGGGGACATAATACGTTTTTTGAGTGTTTCAAAAGACTTTTGACATTTTTCAGTCCAAACGAAATTAGTATTTTTTCTACAAAGTTGGTTTAATGGTTGCGCAATTTCAGCAAACTTGGGTATAAACTTTCTATAATAATTTGTGAACGCCACAAATCTTTTAACTTCGTCGGCATTCTGCGGACAAGGATAGTTTTTTTTTCTGTATTTATTTTTTCAGGATCAGGTAAAATCTCTTCGTTAGATATAGAATGTCCCTGTTAGTAGTTAGTGGTTCCATCTGTTAGAAGCTGAAACCAACTACTAACAACATATTTCCTTATTACACATCTGTACGAACCAGGTGGCTCTTTCTTGTGGTCCCACTCGTTTCGAACAGATGGCGCTTTACTGACAACTGTAATGTAAGTACCTAGTTTAACTTGTTGCCACGAGAGGGCATCTCTTACTATATGTATGAAAAGAACAGTGTTCTAGATTTTGCTAGTAGTCGTCCATGGATAGCAGAATAAACGATACGATAATAAAATCACGAGTTTCCCTGCGCATCCTCAATAATTTTATATTGGTGACCCTTTCTCCCGTCCGAGGATTAATAAAACACAGAAGAAATAGAGTGCAAACACGAAACCGAACCGGCCATTTGAAAAATCAAGAGCGCAACGGAGATATTTTTTCATCGGGAGACGTGGTGCATGGCTAGGGGCCAGAGATAGCCTGGGACCTGATGTCCTTCTGTGGATCTTCGGAGCAAACCCATATTTGTTAAGGACGAGGCGGACAGGGACGGGATAACTACGAAAAACGGCATTTACCAAGAACTTCGTCTGTGTCGATGTTGATCGACATAACCTACCAATAGGCCACGCGGTGGCCACAAACAACCAACATTCACCAGTGACATCGAAGAATAAGATAAGTAGCTTTGCCTATCTAAGTAGTGAGCTTTTTTTATACCTGTATAGTACTGATTATCTCAAAACCAAAGTTCTTTTGTACTACAATGTATGAGCCAGTAGTCGACTTGAAGGAATTAGTTAAAAAACGGGGGGATTATCAAGGGGAAATTAACCCTTTTTTGTCAAATATCTTAATGCGCTTGAGGGCCCTCTTTCTGCTGAAAAATACATCAACTTACAGTTACGATATTCTAAGATAACTAAAATACTTGTTGATTATGAAAATATCCAAGATTTAATAGAAACTGCTTGCACGGATTATGAAGTACAACTTCAGGAGAGAGAGGCCTTTGAGAACAACTATTATACCAATGTTTCTTTGTGTAAAAAACTTATGCAAGAATTTGAAAATAGCAAACCACAGACAGCGCCACCCTCGTCCAATAGTAGTGACAAACCACACTCTAATTCTGTAAAATTACCTGAAATTAAGTTACCAACGTTTGATGGAAACGCTACCAATTAGTTGGAATTTAGGGATCAATTTGATGCCGTTGTTAATGACAGTAACATAAAACCTATATTAAAATTAAAATACCTACGAGGATGTCTGACCGGTTCTGCTCTTAACGTAATAGCTTCGTTGGACTATTGTGAAGAAAGCTATGCCATCGCTTGGCGATTACTCTGTGAGCGTTACAATAATCAAAAGGTACTAGTCACTAATCACTTGCGAGAACTCTTAAGTATTGAAACAATTCAATCAACGCCATCAGCTTTGAGAACATTAGTTGATAACCTGTCGAAGCATCTCAGAATTGAAATAATACTAGTTTTTTACGGAATTTATCGCGTATATTTAACTTTTTAATTACCCGACGTTTCGAGAGCTTTACAGCACCCATGGTCACGGGAGGACTGAGATGTTCAACGTCCAGCTGTCATAGTTAACCGCGGTTACCATAGATTAAAATTTAACTTTTGTTCCGATCTACACAGTATGAACTTATGGTATCATGGAGTCTTGCAGTTGTATGCTTGGGTTGGGATTTAATTTTATTTATTATAGGATCCCAAGCAGATGGTAGCACCCAGCCATCTTCTCTATTGAAATTAGGATGTTTTTTGATTTCAATAGCCTCGCGAATCATCCTTGGAAGGAATCGGTGTTCTTTAGCGAGGATTTGTGGTCTATCAAATCTGATGTAGTGACGGGGGCGATCCTGTACATGTTCACAGACCCAGTCTTTGCCGAACCTGTAAAGGTAAACATCAAACACTTTTACATATAGGAAATTCCCATCATGCTAATAACCAATCAAACAACCAAGGTCAACAGCAACCACTAACTACGTTGTACACTAACCCACAGCCCGCCACAAATACAACTCCAACATCACGTATTGAGAACCCACAACAATCGGTTAACTTGCATACCAGCCGTAATATTGATTTAACACAACCATACCTACAACAAACTGTTTTCTTATCTACAGCATTGATTGATGTACTCGACGTCAATAATCACCAGCACACTTTGCGTGCACTTCTCGATTCGGGCTCGCAATCCAACTTTATAACGGAGTCGGCTTTTAAAAGGTTGAATTTACCTAGAAATAGTGTAAACATAGAGGTTTTAGGGTTTAACGAAAGCGTGACCCAGATTAATCACAGTTGTCAACTGACAATCCAATCAAAATGTGAAGCATTTTCTACCAATTTGTCTTTCTTCATTGTGCCTATGATTTGCAAACTGCCTTCTTATGTCGAAAGTGTAAAACAACTTAATATCCCACATAATTTTCGAATGGCAGACAAAACCTTTTATCAAGGCGGTGATATCGATATGATATTGGGTGTCGAGATATTTTATGATCTTTTGTCCAATAACCAGTATAGATTAGGCGTAGGGTTGCCAACTTTACAAAAAAACACGATTGGGCTGGATCGTGTCGGGAACAGCCTATGTACCTTCTAGCCGTAGGGCTGTTAGATGCAATTTTGTTCAAACCAGGAACCCAAACTTTGGTGAATTTAGTAGTACAACAGAGTTTCCAGATGATGATATTGCTCAATGTGAAAAGGTATTTGAGACCCATTCACGCACACCTGATGGAAACTTTGTGGTAACCATTCCGTTAAAGGAACCCATTTCTTCGTTAGGTCATTCCAAACCCGCTGTATTTAAACGTTTCAAATCGTTAGAATCCAAATTTTCTTGCGACCAAGGTTATAAGGAAAAATATGTCAGGTTTATGCAAGAATTTGAACAATCAGGGCATATGATTAAACGAGACTCAAATGAGCCCTGTAACTACCTACCTCACCATGCTGTGGTTAACCTGGAAAAGGAAACCACACCCCTTAGAGTCGTAATAGATGCATCCCATAAAACCAGCTCAGGGAGATCCCTTAACGACATACAATATAAAGGTGCAATGAACCAGGACGAATTAATTAATATTATGATGAGATTTCGAAAGCATAAATTTGTTATTTGCGCGGATATCGAAAAAATGTATCGTATGATTTTTGTCAACCCTAACCAACACAACCTGCAATGTATCTTATGGCGCGAAGACCCTAATCACCCGCTGCACACCTACACACTAACTACACTCAGTTTCGGTTTGAAGTGCGCACCGTACCTTGCCACTCGATGTCTACAACAGCTCGCGCATGAATTTCGGGAACAGTACCCGGAAGCGGCGACTGCAATATTAACCAATTTCTATATTGACGATTTAGTTCATAGTGGAGATGACGCTCAGAAGGTTGCCGAAACGGCTATTCAAATCGACAGAATATTACGGACCGCGAACTTCAAACTTAGAAAGTGGAAATCGAATTCGGAGGCCATTATAAAGATTGTTAATAAAACCGACGACACACACACTAGTTCACAAACATATGACTCGCAACACACTAGTACAAAACTACACACAGAAAACCCACATAAGGTTTTAGGCCTACAGTGGTGTAAGTTACACCACTGTAGGCCTATGTCATAGGCCTACAGTGGTGTAACTTACATTGTAAGACTTACATGGGGCATGCAATTCGGATATCCGGATATCCAAATTATTCGGATATTCGCCTCGTTTATTATTCGAATAGTATATTTATAATTATTCGGTTTTTACGAATATTTCGAATACTATCTTATTTTGATTTGTTTAAAATATCCGAACGTAAACCTACTAAGTTACGTGAAAAACATGCGTGGATCCGATTGTGGGTGATCATTCATCACGTAGCCAAAGCCGAAAATATGAAAAAAAAAAACTACTTAGCATGTATGCATAGTGCTAACGGTTTTACATTTCGTATCTTTGCGATATTGTTGTGAGTTGTGACGAATTTCAACAACAAATAATAGTATTTGGTTTGATCGAAATACCCAAGTTAAACTTAGATGATAGATAGGTAATCTACATTAACAATTACATTGCGCCGCTTTTTATTATTGATATTCCAATTGGACGATGCTTAATCTACCTCTAATTTATAGTTTATGTTATGCTTGTGTAGCAGTTTATTTGTTTTGCAATTGCTATTGGCACACTTTTGTTTTAAATACTTACTTTATAAAATGCTTTTTTCTATCATATTTTTTTAACGATAGATAAACATAATGCAAGCTTTACTAAGCACGTGAAATAAACGGCTGTTAATTTGGAATGTGCTGTTTTTGTGATTTACCATTTTTGATCTCGTTTTGGTGTTTTTATACATATCAATAACATAAACCAAAAACAAATTCTAAATTGGTTCTAAATTCTAAAGCAGTTCCAAATATTTATATATCTCTGAAGAAACTTATTAACAAATATATTTGGTGTTGTGTTTTCTCTCTCCACAGATTAAAGATGGATGAAAAAAATAAACTTGAATTTAAAGAATATACTCGCTGTGCTGCAGATAAGTCTTCTGTTTGGCAACATTTTTTGCGGACATCAGATGGCCTTCATGCTCAATGCAAGATGTGTAAAAAAGTATTTAAAACCTCTGGAACAACTTCAAGCCTGCATAATAATCTTAGACTTGTTCATTCTATCCAGTTAGTTAAAAAAACATCTAACTATTCACTTCCGTCAACATCTCAAAAAGATATGTCATTAGATTCCGATGTCATAATGACGCCAGCAACAAAAAAGGCTAAAACAATAAATGACTTTTTTCATGTGAAGGAAGAAGATGACTTAGATACTATACTTGCGAAAATGACAGCAGTAGATGGTGTACCATTTAAAATATTCTGTTCTTCGGAATCAATGAGAAAGCTATTTGGAAAAGCTGCTTACAAAGATTTGCCTAAATCACCAAATACAATAAAGAAAAAGGTTCTGAATAAAAGTGAGCTACTGAAAAAAGAAGTAAAAAAGGAGCTTAATGATATTAAGACAGCAGGAAAAAAATTGGCTATAAGCCTAGATGAATGGACAAGTGCACGTAATCGCAGATATGTGAACGTAAATGTTCATTCACCAGAGCTTTCTGAAGGTATTAGAAACTTGGGACTGACGAAAATAAGGGGCCGTGGAACATCAGAGAACTAATATAATATATTGAACAAAAAATTGGTATATTACGGCTTGTCAATACAAAACGATATCTCGTGCATAATCTCTGACGGTGCAAGCGTAATGTGCGCACTAGGGAGAATGGTTCCCTCTTATCATCAATTATGCTTGGCCCATGGTATTCAGTGCGCTGTCCTGGACGTGCTATACAAAGCTGATAACACAGAAGGTAACACCGGCATCACTGTTAACAGACCTTGCGATAGCTCTGACTCTGAGGACGAAAGTGATATAGAGAACGAAGATAAAAATCGTTTTGTCACCGAAGCTGACCCCAGTGGGGTCATTCCCAAGCTGGTTTATAAAGAATTGATAACTAAAGTCCGGAAAATAGTAAAATTTCTCAAAGGTTCGCCTACTCGCATGGATATACTCAATTCTTACCTGGAGTCCAAATCTAAAGACACGACACTGATCCTCGATTGCAAGACTCGTTGGAGCAGCCTTGCTGATATGATAGCAAGATTTCTAGAATTCAAAGACGCAATTCAAAAGACATTAATTGATCTCAAAGAGAAGACTACCTTTTCAGATACTGAAATATTAATTTTGAAAGATATGTCTAGTTCTCTCAATTTCATAAAGGCCATAGTTGAAGAACTTTGCGAGCGAAAATCAAACTTACTAATCGCAGAAATTGCACTTCAATTCATGATGGAAAAATTGGCGATGAATCCAGACGTTATTAGTGGCCAGCTTAAAGAAGCTTTAAATAGAAGAATCTTGCAGAGGAGAAACGCTACACTGGTAAGTACGTTACAGTACTTACAAAATATTATGACGAAAGGAATACTCCTCATGCATTTTCAAAGGAATCCCATGCGGAAATAATAGCCTTAATTGTAAAAATCAATGAGACTTATTTTTGCAAAGATAAAGCTGCTACAACTGTCTTTGAAGCTGAAGATGGCCTGCCTTTAAGAGAAATACAAAGACAGCAGCGCCTTGAAGATGAGAGGGAACAGGAGACAGCCAAGACATTCAAGGAACAGTTAAAGACAAAAGTTAATGAATCCTTGCACAATACTGCTGAGGTATCAACAAAACATTTGTCCGAAAACGATGACTTGGAAACGTCTGTCAGGGTGGAAATGGCGCTATTAGATCGAAGTGGCCCTAAAAGCATTCATCTACAACGTGTTTACGATTTTTTACTTACCATCCCACCTACAAGCGTTGAAGCAGAACGTGTATTTTCGGCTTATAGATATTTTTGCAATCATTTGAGATGTTCATTCAATGACGATACGTTAGACGCCCTCAGTTTCCTCCGGTCATACTTTATGAACACAAGAAAGTAATTTTTTGTATTTTTAAGTAAGTGTGGATGATTAAAAAGGTTCCTAATTAAAATGTTTAAGTAATAATAATGTTTCTTTTCATAAACTTAAGCACTATTCGTAAAATTCGTATTATTCGAAGTATTCGGATATTTTTTATTCGGTTATTCGGAAAATCCGAATACCTTTTTTGGACGAATAATGCATGCCCTGGGTGTAACCAAAGCGACTTTATAACGTATTCGTTCATTGACAAACTGACTAATTATTCGTTAACCAAAAGGAAGGTATTATCTGTTGTCTCTGCAATATTTGATCCACTGGGTTTAATCGCACCAATTTTAATAACCGCAAAATGTTTCATAAAAAAATTATGGCAAAATAACATCGGCTGGAATGAAAGAGGTAGTTCCTCCTCTTTCTCAAGAGGAAGAATGGCGTAATTTCTATAATAGCCTGTTTATAGTAAACTCTTTAATGATACCTAGACACGTTATCATCCCTGAATCTGTTTTGATAGAACTGCACGGCTTTGCGGACAGCTCAATGACCGCGTACGGGGCAGCTATGTACCTACGGTCTATAGATGCCAACGGTAACGTATTAGTGCGTTTATTATGCGCGCAAACGAGAATCGCTCGTGATGAAACTATACCTAGATTAGAGTTGAGAGCAGCTCATTTATTAGCCAACTTAATGCACAAGGTTCGTCATGTTTTGGATCTTCAATCGTCCAAAATGTTTTTATGGTCTGATTCAAATATTGTATTGGCATGGATAAAGACAAATACGCCTTCCAAATTGATACCACTTGTAAAAAATCGAGTAATCGAAATTATAAATTACACCAAATCGGACGACTGGCATTGGGTTCCGTCCGCTGATAACCCAGCTGATCTTTTATCTAGGGGTGTTCCAGCGGCTAAGTTGACGCAGACAACCATGTGGTGACAAGGCCCTACGTGGTTGTCACAACCTAATATTGATAACTGGCCGCCTCAGAATGAATGTAATTACCAACATAAGGTAGATATTATTTCTTGTGTTACTATGGAACCCCAATCACTTTCATTCATGGAAAAATTGTTTAAAAAATACTCAACATATGAAAGGTTGTTACGAGTTTTTGCCTATGTACTTAGATTCTTAAATAATGTAAAAAACAAGGACAAATGTTTAGGTGTCCTCTCGGTTGAGGAGTTGAAACAATCTCACGATAAACTTATCATGTTAGCTCAGAGCGAATCCTTTCCAAATGAATATCTCACATTAAAGAAAGACAAACCACTGCCACAGACGTCAAATATATTATGCCTAAAACCTTATATGGAAAATGGTCTACTACAAGTGGGTGGACGCATTGAAAACTCTCCATATTCTCACGATAAGAAACACCCTATATTGTTACATAACCGACACATACTTACCAAGCTTATAGTTCAGTCATACCACATAAAGCTCATGCATGCTGGGCCGCAGTTACTTCTGGCATCGATTCGCGAACGCTACTGGCCTATCCATGGTAAGAGTTTAGTAAATAAGGTGACACGCGAATGCGTCACGTGCTTTAGGGCCAAGCCCAGGCCTAGCGCCCCAATTATGGGTGAACTGCCCGCATCTCGCGTTACCCCCTCCCTTCCGTTTTCAACAACAGGGGTAGATTATGCAGGGCCATTTAATTTGAAGACCTGGAGAGGACGTGGGGCCAGGACTTACAAGGCGTATGTCGCATTGTTTGTTTGTTTTGCTACCAAGGCAATTCACATTGAGTTGGTTACAGGTCTTGACACCCAGTCGTTTTTAGCTGCCTTCCGAAGGTTCGTCTCCCGTAGAGGTAAACCACAGCAAATGGTGAGTGACAATGGTACCACATTCCAGGGCGCTAGCAACCAGATAAATGAAATCTACCAATTTTTAAGGGACAGTAAAGACGAAATTATGACCTCACTTAGTAACGACGGCATCAAATGGAGCTTTTTACCGGTCTACACACCGCACATGGGCGGGATATACGAAGCTGCTGTAAAAAGTTGTAAATATTTTCTAAAAAAGAGTTTTAGCTGCAGCACTTCTGACTTATGAATAATTTGTAACGGTACTTACGGTACGGAAGGAATTTTAAATTCACGACCATTGTGTCCCTTGTCTAATACAGATATTAATGACTTTTCCGCATTAACACCAGCTCACTTCTTGATAGGTAGGGCTATAACCACCGTTCCCGACTATGAGTACAAGGATGTTCCCGCCCACAGGCTCACGCTGTTCCAGCAGCTACAGCAGCTTCAACAGGACTTCTGGCGAAGATGGCGACTACATCGGAATCCTACAACAACGTACCAAGTGGCGGAGCTCGAAGGGCCCAGCTCTCTCCGTGGGCACGATGGTGGTGGTGAAGGATGACCGTCTCCCTCCCTGCCAGTGGAAGCTGGGACGAATCAGACAAACCCATGACGGACGGGATAGTGTGGCTAGAGTCGCGACAGTGTTAACTTCCAAAGGCAAAATTAAAATATCATATGTTCATCTATGTCCACTACCAATTAATATAGATTAACTATAATGTTAATAAAAAGATACCTTGTACTTCAGATAGGCATTTAACTTAAGTTGAATTGGATGTTAAGTAAATTAATTAGCCTAACTACCTAGCGTTTTAGATTTCTGTATTTTTAATTGGTCTGTTCGGTCCAATCTAAGCTTAACCCATTAGCAGTCGCATTACATTTTTGTTAAATTTAATCAATAATGTAGCTTTGGCAAACGTTTACCTATCTGGTTTCTCTTCCTTATTTATTTCTACTCTGTTTTGATTCGCGGTTCAAGTCCGCGATTGTTATTTATAGTTTTGGGTTTGGCCTCTAATGGGTTAAAGTTAGTTTACTTTTTAGCCTAACATGCTGCCATTTAGCTTGTTCACAACATAAATAATGTATCAGCTTACTTGAGTTAGATTTATGCTGGCTGGCAGAATGTTAGTAGTTAGTGATTCCATCTGTTGGAAGCTGAAACCAACTACTAACAACATATTTCCTTATTACACATCTGTACGAACCAGGTGGCTCTTTCTTGTGGTCCCACTCGTTTCGAACAGATGGCGCTTTACTGACAACTGTAATGTAAGTACCTAGTTTAACTTGTTGCCACGAGAGGGCATCTCTTACTATATGTATGAAAAGAACAGTGTTCTAGATTTTGCTAGTAGTCGTCCATGGATAGCGGAATAAACGATACGACAATAAAAGCACGAGTTTCCCTGCGCATCCTCAATAATTTTATATTAAATATAAAATCTGTTTTTTAAGAAATGTACATTGTGAAGGATTTAATTTTAAATTTACTGAACGAAGTCTTTTAAAAACATCCCGTAAGTTTTTATTGTGGTGGTCTAGTTGTCTACCAAAAACAATGACGTCATCTAAATAAATTAAGCATTTTTCATTATTTAGTCCTGACATTGCTAAATTCATCAATCGTGAGAAAGAACTGGGACTTGTTTTTAATCCCATGGGCATTCTCGTCATCTGGTATTGACCAGAATTGAAAGTCGACAACTTTTATCTAAATTAACATTGTAATACCCTTGATGTAAATCTAAATGTGTAAAATATACATTTCCAGACAAAGATTGTAAGATTTCTGTAATATCAGGGAGGGGATACTTATCGTCCTCTATACAGTTATTTAATTTACGGTAATCCACTACCAATTGCCATTTTTTATTACCCGATTCATCAAATTTTTTAGGCACCAATAATATTGGGCTAAACCAGTCACTTTTACTAGGTTCTATAATCCCTTCTTTAAGCATGTTGCTAATTTAACGATTAATTTCCCTTTTCTGACTAATTGGTAACCTATAGGGTTCTGAAAACACTGGACTAACGTTTGGTTTCAAAAAAATATTGTGAGTGTAAATATCTCTTGTTATCAATTTATCGCCCCTAAAAACATCACAAATATTTTAACACTTTAATTTCTAAGTCATTTAAATCATTTAATTTTAATGAGGAAAATAATCGTTTACCTCGGTCGGCGGTGAATTATTCTCATTTTTCTCAAAACTACAAATATTATAATCGTTAAGATCATGAATTGCAGGATTTATTCCTGCCAATGTTACTGATTTTTCGGTAACATTTCATATTTTTATTGGTATCTTTCCCCTAATTGGTGTCGCTATCGAGCTAGCCAAATAAACGCCATCCTGTAATTCTTGTGAACAAATAATGCAATCGGTTTGAAAATCAGTTTGAATATAATGTATGGATTCACTTCTTGGGGGAATTTCCAATACGTTAATATTATAATTATTAGTGAAAGGCAAGAAACAAGTGTGGCCTGACCCTAACTTCAAAGATAAAATATTTTTCTCGAAATCTAAACATGCTCCAAATCTATTCAAAAAGTCTCTACCTAGAATTCCATGCGACGAAATTGGCAACGAATTAAAAACAAAGAACTTGTGATTAATAACAGATCCATGAATCATTAATGGAACATAAACATATCCGATTGTTTGCACCTCGCCACCTAGACCGTTTATAATTACATTCTCTTTATGTAATGAAACACTTAATTCGATAGCATATTTATATGTTACGGCGGATAAAGATGCGCCCGTGTCGACTAAGAAAGAATAAGTTTTATTGCATGATAAAACTGGTAAATGAATAAAACAATTGCTATTACTACTAGCCAACATTGAATGATTTTGTTTATTCTCGAAAAAACTTTGCTAGTCGGGGTTCATTTGAAGTTGATTCCTGATTTTTATTAATTATATTGACTATATTTCTTTTTATCCATTGATTTCCGCGATAATTACGAAACGTACCTCGATTATATCGTCCTCGCTGTCCTTGACCACGTGAGTTCGAGTGGTTCCATGAACTCGATCGCTGCGAGTTTCCGTGGTAGTGTTCTCGCTGTGAAAACATTTGCCGATTACGCCCGTTGCCGCGTGGGTACCTAGAATTATGATGAAAATTCCTAGGATAATAAAATGTCTTACTGAACATACCCATCACCTCTCCTGCGGCCGATGATGATGAAGTCTCTTCATCTTGAGCTGCTTGAATGGCATCTTTCAGAGAGCTGTAATTTCTAGCAGAAATTATTGTACTGTTTTGACGATTTCGTAAGCCATCGGAAAATTGCTTGATCGCTTGTTTTTCATTAACAGTTTTCAAAATATGTATATGTAATATTCGGTATTACCGTTGGCTTGAGATATCGTAAGGTCCACAAATAACTCTGTTATTTGTTTTCCATAATTAGCAATTGACATATCATTTTGGCGTAATTTTTGCAATTTATTTTGAATTGCTGCTGCTCCTTTTCTTGACAACTACTGTTTCTGCATGTCACTAACCAAGTCTTCAACATTAGAGTAATCGTCTTGAAGACGTAATTTAGCAGATTGAGATAATCTACTTTTTAATATGAATTTAATTAAATACTTTTTGCATTCCTGGTTTGTTAAAAAAGAATTATAATACTGAATATTGTCTACTAATTGTTTCACACTTGTTTCGTCATCTGACATAACAGGTAATAAAGTCAAAGCCGTTTTCAAATCGAAAGTATCCATATTGCTCAGATTTTCAGATTGTACACACTCGGGCTTACACAATTTTATAATATCCTGATATAATGATTCAAAATTCTTACAATAGGTTTGATAAGATGGAATATCAGTAGATTTAATCTTACCTTTCTTTACTTTACTATTAAAATTTATTAACAACTTAGAATAGTCACTAAATATATCATTGGTCTCTTTAAGTTTAGTATCTAAAACTTTTCCTTCACGTCTACTCGGTCCAATTTTAATTAAATATGTTCTCACTTCTTTTAATTTCTCATATAACTGTTCTAAAGAAATATTCATAACTTACTACCAATACGTAGAATATAGTATACTATAAATAATTTTACGAAATATTTAA